AGCCTACATTGCAGGCTGGTTTTTCTCTTTTCCCTGCCTTCACAATTCTGTGTTCATAACTGAACAGTCAGTACCCTTTCTTGTTTTCCTCTTAATGAAGAAACAGACTCTTGAGAAAAGAGAGACAGAAAATAGAGCTAGGCAGCATAGAAGAAACAGCTGCATGACCACAAAAAGAAGGCAGCTAAACCCCGAGGGAAATGCACTGGAGTGGACAGTTGCCCTCTGAACACCACCTGTCAGGAGTCCCTCTGGCTGGGCCGTCACGCACAGCATGTGCATCCAAAAGGCCACTTGTTATTTCAACAAATATTTATTGACTACTTCTCCATGCCAGACACTTGGTAAAGAGAATGAACAACATAGACAATGATCTTGCCCTTCTGGGCCTGACGTCATCAAGGTAACACTCAACATGCCAACACATGAGAGAACTTGAGATAGTGGTGAGAACTCTACAGAAAAGAAGTTATTTCGATCAAGAAGTGAGGGGTGTGGGCTGGTATGGGGGCATAACTAAGATAATAAGAAAAGCCTCTCTGGCTGGGCACAGTGACTTACACCTGTAATCCCAGCACTTTGGGAGGCTGAGGTGGGCGGATCGCCTGACTGAGACCCCATCTCTAGAAATAGCCGGGCATTGTGGTGAGAACCTGTAGTCCCAGCTACTCAGGAGGCTGAGGCAAGAGAATTGCTTGAGTCCAAGAGTTAGAGGTTGCTGTGAGCTATGGTGCCAGGACACTACCGGGGGTGACAAAGTAACATTCTGTCTCAAAAAAAAAAAAAGGGACTCTCAGAGAAGGTGGGATTTGAACTGAGACACTTAAATGCCCAGAGGTCAAATATCTTAAGATAGGAAGGTGGCTTTTAGTGCAGAGAGAGCAGCTACTGATAGGAAAAGAGTTGGGAAGTGAAAGGCCAGAAAGGAAAACTGACCTTGTAGGGACTTGATAAAAAGTTTGACACTTACATGTAAATACATTGGGAATTCTCTAGCAGTTAAAGAATTAGGGTTGGGAGGGGTGGTTGCTTTGGTTTTATGTTGTTTTGTTTCTTTTTCTGAGACAGAATCTCACTTAATCACCCTTGGTAGAGTGCCATGGCATCTTAGCTCACAGCAACCTCAAACTCTTCGGTTCAAGTGATCCCCTTGCCTCAGCCTCCCAAATAGCTGGGACTATAGGCACCTGCCACAGCACCTGACTAAATTTTTTTAGAAATGAGGTCTCACTCTTGCTCAGACTGGTCTGGAATCTGTGAGCTCAGGCAATCCACCTGCTTCAGCCTCCCAAGAGCTGGGATTACAGGTGTTGTTGGGTTTTTTTTTCCTTTGTTTTGTTTTTTGAGACAGATTCTCAACTCTTTCACCCTGGATAGAGTGCAGTGGCATCATCGTAGCTCACTGCAACTCAAACTCCTGGGCTTAACCAATCCTACGTCAGCCTCCTGAGTAGGTGGGACTACAGGCACCTGTAGGCACCATGACACCTGTCTAATTTTTCTATTTTTGTAGAGATGGGATCTCATGCTTGGTCAGGCTGTGCTCAAACTCCTGAGCTCAAGCAAACTTCCCACCTTGGCCTCCCAAAGAGCTAGAATTACAGGCATGAGCCACTGTGCCTGGGCACAGTTAAAGCTCTTTAGGTAAAAGGAACAAAATCTGCCATAAACTAGCTTAAACACCAAAGATAACAACATTGGATCGGATC